ATGGGAAAAAGCGCCCCCTTGCCTGCCCCATGGCCAGCGCCCCGCGCTGCAGGTGCTCGCAGCCTGTGTGGGGCTGTCCGGAGCAGGCTTAGGCAGCCCCAGGCCGGCTGTGAGCAGCTGCAGGGCTGGGCATGATGGGGCGGGGAGGGACTACTTTCTCCTCCCCTCCCCCTGTGCTCAGCACCACCTTGTAACCCGGCCCCACTGCCAGGCTGGCAGTGGGGAGGGTTACAAGCTGGTGCTGAGTGTGGGTAAAAGTGGCCCTTCGCCTGCCCCATGGCCAGTGCTCCGTGCTGTAGCCACCTGCAGCCTGCATGAGGCTGCCTGTGCCTGCTCCAAACAGCCTCCCGTAGGCTGCGAGCACCTGCAGCAGGGAGCACTGGCCATGGGGCAGGTGAGGGGCCACTTCCCCCTCCCGCTCAGTACCAGCTTCCCTGCTGGCAAACGGGGTTGGGGCTGAGCACTGCCCCCCTGCCTATACTGGGGGGCACTGGGAGTGAGTGGGTGGGGAGCCAGCAGGAGCACAGGGCCTGCACTGGTGTCCCGGGCCCAGAGCAGGGTGGGAGAGGAGTACAGGGTCCCAGTCGGCAGGGGCTCTATGGAGCTGGGCCAGCTCCTCCCTCCCTGCTGGTGCAGGCCAGCCCGGCTCCACAGACCCTTGCCGGCCTGTGCTCCGCTCTGGGCCCCACTGGTGCTGGCCCTGGGACATTGGTCCCAAGGTGGTGACCAGGGGGTTGGGCACGTATCAAGGGGTGGGGCTACCCATGCAGCCCTCAACAGCCTGCCAAAACTGGGTAAGCGACCCTCCGCCCAAAATAATTGCCTGCCCCCGTGCTACGTAGATCCCATGCATGATGTGTACTAGATCCAGTGTGTGGGATTGGTCTGGGCCTGATCAAGCACACCACATCAGATCTGCTACTCCAGCCCCGCCTCCACCAGATTGGGCCCTGAACCCATATGTTGGGATGGTGCCTGTCATCTGTGGCAGCCCTAATCTGCAAAAGCATTGGGGCCCATTATTTCTTCTTCAGGGATCCTGGGACTTCCACTGAAAGGCTGGGTACATAAATCAGTAAACCTGACCTGTAGATGTTGCAGGAAATCATGCACCAATGTAAATAACATATAATTCATGGAAAGGCTAGAAATAAAAACAAGGTATCAAGCAAAGGAATTGGCTTTCAAAAACATGACCCCAACTAATCCTGGAAACACCAGAAATCTGTAAACTAAATTAGTAGGATATTCTCTCCTCTCCTTGCTCCACACACGCACAAGCATACATGCATTTTCTGACAGTCTTAGTAGCACTGGGTCAAGAGTTCAATATGAATGGCTGGTACTAATTGCAGGGAGTTCAACAGCTCTCTTTTTTCAGTTGAACTGAGTCCCTGGAAGTTTCTGTCCCTAGTCTTTTATATCCACTGCAGGGGAAGCCTGTCTGGCTCAACTGGCCTTCAGTCCTCAGAACCAGAGCAACATCATCTTCCTACCTGGCACCTCCCACTGCCCCATGACTCCTTGGGGTCCTGTCTCCCTCTGTGTGTGGTCTTTGTCAGGCTCAGCTCTGGCTGAGCAATGGGCAAGCGCTTTGGGAGCCAGTGGTTAAGTATTTGGATGTGCCAACTGAATACCTGGTCTAGCCTCCATGTACTGTGCATGTGGGTTTGAATGTGAAAGCCAGGTGAGGGAGGCAAGTTCCAGTCCCGGTCTCTCCTGCTGAGATTTGCTTCTCTGTATTACCAATGGGGCTGCAGATAAAATAGGTTTTTTTTATTAATCCTGTCATATTAAGTCACTAACAATGATATTGCTTCCCACATTAAAACAATCTGAGAAGCTGGAACTTCCAGCTAAATAATAATTATATGGACTTCTTTCTCTAGCTTAATACCTTTTTTCCTTTTTTTTTTTTTTTTATTTTTTTAAAAAAATTTTTTTTGGGGTTTGCTGGGTGGTGTCCCCCCCCCCCCCCCCTCATTTTCTTCCAGGCTTATTCTTTTTCAAGAGTTAAATAAAGTTGAGTAATGCGAGCCTGAGCTCCTTTTATTTTTCTGCAGGATCACATTTGTTCTATTAAACCAGTTCCTTTCCATGGGGCTCCATGCAGTGATGCTGCAGGGCGTCAGGTCCCATATAGAATAATAATGGACCAAGTGACTAGTTCAATTTCTGGGAGTCAATGGGACGCAGAGCAGGAAGCTCCTTATTATGAATACAAGGTAAGCTGTTTTACAGATACTCTAGGCCAAATATGGTCTGGTTCATTTTGCCCACATGGTACATAGTGGATGGATTCCAGGTTAGTATCTGCAGGGAAACCCTTCCTTGACAAAAGGGTGCCTGACATGGTGAAGCTGGTTTTTATACCAGTGAGATGGTCTGTCATGCCATAGGGAGAGATTTGGTAGAACAGAAGTCTACTATTCTTGTTTTCCACTGCTGTAAAGTCCTTTCAAAAAAAACCTGCCAGTGCCTATGTTGGAGCTGCTCTTAACTTTCAGCTGGTGCTGATTTTGATTGATTGATTAGGAGTTGTAGTGAGCACTTTTTTTTTTCTTCTTCTTCTTCTTCTCCACTGCATCCAGAATTCACTTGAAAGCAGTGGTTGTTGGAACCCCCGGAGTCTTCTACTTGCACTGTAACTTCCTATTCAGTTAGTGACACACTCTCTCTTCTATATAACCTTCATCTGTTGATAACCATAAGATCTTAAAAGTGATTCCTGGCCCACAGTAATATAATCTTATTTAGCAGAAGTTCATAACCTTTTCTAAACCTGCATTTATTGCTGGAAAAAGAACAAATCTAACAGATTCATGTACTGGTATACTTGAAATCTTAGCACAAACCTTAAGTTATTTAAAGAGTAATAAATCATTGAAACAAATTCAAATTTAGTCTTTTCATTTAACCTTTTTTATGAAACAAATCTCTTTTATAAAAGTTGCACAAAATGAATGCTTTATCTGGGAGATTAGGGAAAAAGAATAGAAGGAAAGCATGACTATTTACTGGATCATCTTTTATAGAAGAAAGAGGACTGGGTAGTTACTTTAAAGTAATGCAAATAGGAAAGCTTTCTTACAAAGCAGTGAACACATTTTTACATGAATACTTTAAATGGTGACTCTGGAAAACCATTGTTGCATATATTCACATTTGCGTATCATGAGTTGTACCTAACTTTTTAGGCATTTTGTCTTCATTAATATAGTCCTGTTAATGTAGTTTTTATTTATACTAACACACACATTCTGGACATTTTTATAGGATGCTCTTGGTCATTTTCACCAAGTATGGTATGATGACCCCTGGAGCATTTCCCTGAAAGCAGCATATGCACAGGAACGTGGTTTAAGAGGCATTGGCATGTGGAATGGAGATTGTCTTAACTACTCTAGAACTCCTGTAGCAGAACAGCAAACTGAAGCAATGTGGCAAGCCTTGATACCATAGCAACTGCATGAGATGATCAGCATTTACTGCTTGGTTTAGAATGATTGAAAAATGTAATGGGATATTAATTCTAAAAAGGAATGCGTATGTTGTCTTATAAGTATCTGCTGCTTATGAGCAAAACTTCTGAAACGATCAAAACTTCATTTTATTCAGTACTTTAGAAAATATTTTCTATTGCATTAATTCATTTTAAGAGATTGGTTAGGTTTTCTATTTTTACAATTTTCAATTATGTTTTTTGTTAGTCAAGCTGTTTACCTATCGCTCTGTTCTTTTCACAACTTGAGAAGCTAGAAAATCATGAACTTTTTAAAGAAATCTCTCTCTCTCTCTCTCTCTCTTTTAAGACTAGTATCTTAAATTTCGTATTATGAAAAGTATTTTGTACCCAGTTTAAAGTACATTATTCATAATAGCAGATATTCATTTTAAATGTTAATTCTGACCTTCCTACTTGTGGTCACTGCACTGCTGTAGTATCATTGTATTGCTGTAACACTTGTATGCTGCTTTTAAATAACAGAGGAAAAGGTTGTTATTCTTGAAGCTTTTAGAAGTTTTTCTTCTTCCTCCTAGTTGTCTGTAGATTGCACTAGTAACAGTAAGAAATATACATTGCATTTCCTAGCGCTGTATTTTTCTGTATACTTTACACATTATTTTCCAGTATTTAGTTGCTGAAAATTGGAGTGTGCATCATAAGCAAGGAAATAAAATAATGGTGTTTAGCTGATAGCTATAGCAGAGGGCAGTAAGTGGGGCACTAGTCCTGAGCACTGATTTAGGGAGGTGCCAGACTGGCACCCCTCAGGGAGCTTTTTGCTGTGACTGTGTGGGTAGCCTGTGTCCTAATGGAGCAGCAGCCTACTCGCAGCAGTCTGCATTGAGGGCAGAGCCCCGACTGGGGCAGGAAAGACTGGCTTCACCCAGCTGTCACATAATATTCTTCCCTTCCTCTGCCCAGAGCTTACTTCACCTCTTATTCCCCTCTGCCTCTTTCACTTAGATACTCCCAGCTGCTGTTGGACTCCTGCTGAGTAAGTAGCAGCAGTTAGAGGGTTAAAGGAGTACTGACAGACTGTTGCTTCCTGATCCCCTTGCTGTTCCTTATGGTTCACTTGATTACAGTAGGGGTACATGAGAGTGCCTGGGCTGTGAAACCTGTGAGCATATGCAAATAAGAGTGGGACCAAAGTAGTTATGTTCTGTCAGTGTCAGTGAAAAACATAAAGTACAAAGAGAAGCAGAAGAAATTGGAAGGAGGTACAGCAGCAAGGAAGCATGGAGGAAGGCAAAGGAGAAACTGCTTTTGAATGATGGTGGTAGATAAGCATTTTATGGTGCAGGAACACAATACCCAGAACTTGGAAGAAAAACTTTGGGATATGCATGAGAGATGGCAGTTTGGATATGCAGTGTCAAGAGGAATACAGTGTCAGATAAAAGCATGTAAAATTGCAAGGAAATTTGGGTTAGGTCTTTAGGGTTGGCAGAGGTTTGAGACGTATATCTTTATAGAAGAAATGGATTTTCAGTAAGCAGTCTCATTGATTTTTTTTTTTTTTTTTTTTTTTTTCCCCAATGCCTGCCTGAGATATATAAGAAGTTGACAGCTCTTGAACAATATGTGATCAGGCTCCAGAAGCAGCGTTCATGCCTACAGTCACAAAAAGGAAGTGAGGATGCCATGTGATGCCACAGGAAAGGAGAGTAGAGCAAAAACAGTCCATGGAAGAATGGGCAGATACAGAAAGCAGCATTGCATTGTGGTTGGTGACGGAGTGAAGTTGCCAGCTTGTGTGCTTTTTAAAAGGAAAACCTTCCCTAAAGAGAAGTTACCACAAAGGATAATTGTTCAGGCACAGAGAAAAGGATAGAGAAGCCAGTCCATCACTTACCTAAGTGTGTATGGGAATACCCACCTGGTGCTGTTTTGCATTTATGAGACAGGCTCATATTGGATAGGTTTTTAGAGATACCATGCAGAGGGAATCAAGAAACAGCTGAAAGATAGAAACATAGACTAATACCAGGAAGCACAATGTACATGCTCCAGCCATTAGATATCAGCAAATAATTATTTCAAAGCAAACATGAAACATCTATATACAGAATGAATAGCAAGTAATAACCACAGTTTGACCAGAACAGGGAATAGGGCAAACTACACGAGTGGAACAAGCTTATATGAAATTTCATCCCTTTAGATCACATTGTTAAAAAGTTTTTAAAAGTGCTGCATTTCTAATGGGCTGGATGGTAGTAAGGACTGTGCTGTGGGGGGCAACGATGCAGATTCTACAGGAGGCAGCAGTGATAAAAAGTAAAGTTGATTACTGAAGGATTTGCTTCCTCATTGTTTTAATCCTCTTGTCAATTTTTTTTACTTTATCAACTTTTAATGTGAGACTGGTGTTTTGCTGTGTTGTAAAGTCATGCTGCAACATGGCAGTGAGAGATGTGAGGGTCTACACAAATGAATACAATAATTTTTCCCCCTCTGATTTCTCTTGTTGCCAAAACCAAGTTTAAAGACTCTTCCAGTGTCCTAACTCCATGTATTTTTACACAAAACTCAGGATGCATTAAAATTTCTTTTACTTTCTAACCTAATGCTGCTTATAAGATAAATTTTCGGAATGAAAAAATAATCTCAGGTTAGTCTTCATATTTTCACAAAAGAATTTATTGTTGGAAATGTATAATTACATTAAACTATTTGCAGATTGATTTGGCTGTGTGAGAGTGACTCCCGCCTCCCTCTTACAAATGTTAAGGAAATGTTCTCAGCAGGACTAAACAAAACGAACAAGCAGTGAAACTCGTGGTGCATCTACAACACGTTTGGCTCATGTCCCAGCATGAATGCCCCTGAACTCACTTCTTGCCCACTGACATTGCAAATCCAGAAGAGCACCAGGGAGGTTCTACCAGTGGCCACAGATGGATGCCTTAAAGGGACCTCCCAACTGCTGTTCCAGTTTGAAGTGTGTAAATGGGAGTGGGTGGTATAGATTACTTCCTAAAGACATGATTAAACAGCTCGTGTTTTCTCCCTTTAGCTCATGAGGTGGTGATGCAATCTCCTTAGACTAGGGTTAGTCTTTCAAAACAGATTCCTACTCTCTATCAGTCATGTAGATAAGCAGGACTTCACCCTGCAAGCATTTACATGTGTTCTTCACACACTTTGAGTAGCAATCCCATTATACGCTGCAAGTATTTTGGCTGTAACATGGAGTTATTTGCATGTGTGATTGTGGTACTGGGAATGCTTTTTAAATATTGATGCAGTTTCACTGAGTTTTAGATGCACTGAAATAATTTAATGATAGAAGTGGAACAGTTCTCCCTTAATTCTGGTATATTGTCAAGTCAGGCCCTGTCTGTACTACAGCTAAAACTGATGTTGCTTTCTCTGGTAACTGAAAAGTCGCCAACATCGTACACATCAACCATGACACTTTTCAAATTGTTTTTGCAGTTAAGTAAGTGTAACTGGACCTTTCTTGGTGACAACTATAACAGTGTTGTTGAATGCAATTTAACTTAACTCAGTTTATGCTGAATGGGCTTGCAGGAAAAATCTCAATGCACAGCACATCATCAACAGTGTTGGTGGCGTCTCTTGGAAACTAAGAAATCTGCATTAATGTTTATGCACCTGTTTTCAGATATTAATCGATGGAATGTATGATATTAAGCCCCAAACCACCAAATAAATTAAGTTAAATAGCAGTTGGGGGGGGGGGGTGTAGAGGAAGAAAATATTAGAGAAATGGATTCATTTAAGATGCAATCATTTAAGTATTTTTTTCAGTTATTTCCTTAGTATGATACTTTTGTGCTCCTAATTATTATACTAATGTGAGCGAGGAGCGTTGTGGTCGAATTGCGAGACTCCCGTTAAATCTACTCGTGCGCTTTACTGCAGAGTAGACTAATTTGGCTCTGCAGCAAAGTGTCACAGTCTACATGTGAGCCAGTATTAGGGTGCAGTAAACTAACAGTACTGCCCCCAGTAGTATTACCTTACAGCACAATCTTATAGTGGAGTCATTCAGTGCAATCAAATGCATGTGTAGATGGTGACCACTGGGTGCAATGCACCTGGTCAGTTCAGCCAACTGGGGCCAGACCCCTGGCTCCTGCCACCCTCACTACCACCCTCTGCTGGTGCCTGGGACCAACCCCCTCCCCCCATATCTCCTGCTAGCCCTGGGTTGTTCTGGTTGGGCTCAAATTGCTTCTGTCCCAGGCACGCTTGTAGATGCTGTGTCTGGGAGCAGGGTACTCTAGTTAAAACAGCTCCAAAGTTTAATGCATCGGGTTTGTGCAGCCCGGGAGCGACCCGAGCCCTTTTTCGTGCTGCACGCGGGCTGTGGCCAGCAGCCCGGGCACGCCGGGTTGGAGAGGGAAGGCCGTCGAGCTGGAATTAGGCACAAATGCGTATCAGTAGTTTAAAAGATTGTTTACTTACACCGAGATGGCAGTGGTGCAGGCTGAAAACTTGCTTAAGTTGCGGTTACAGACAGGAAAGAAGAGAGGCAGACAAGAGTTCTAGACTCGTGAACTCTAGCCCAATCCGGCTGAAGGCTCTGAACATGCGAGCCCGTCGTGTCAGCCGAAGAAAGTACTCGTCCGGAAGAGCTCTGAATAAACTCACACGAAGTTTGCTAGGCTCCGTGGGTTCTTCTGCTCACTCATTCACACGAAGTTTGCTAGGCTTCGTGGGTCCGGTTCTTTTGCGCGCAGGGAGGCGTGAAGTCTCCTCCTCCCGGTGTTCGTGGAGTCCTCCAACTTGGGTGGAAACCACTCAAGCCTTTTATACGGCTAGCAAGCCAATCACTAGCCGCCACGTGTGAATGATTTAGCACTGGCCAATAATGGGACTCGAATTAGCATACAAATGGCGGGAACTATTTGCAACAAGCATTTCTGTGCTGCAACAAAGAAATGCACCCTGCAAAGAAAGCTTCAAATTGGCGGGAAATTCTCCCTTGCACCGGGGTTCTCTTTTGCAGCAGAAAACTCCACCGTGCAAGGAAGCTGCAATTTAGCAGTGCCGAAGCACACAAAAACAAAAATCACACCCTTTGGTGACAGGGTTAATTGCATGTGTAGCTGCACTCGCTGTGGAGTGGGTTACAGGGTTAGAACACTCTGGGTGCAGATAACCTGCTTTTCCTCACGTACTCAGTGCAGAGATACCTTGCACATGTGCAAAGCTCTTTTCCTGATGGTGATTCAGGCAAGGGGCCTGAGGTAATTCTTTCATTTAGCCATGATTGTTTGATTAAATTTCTCCTGTGAAATGGAGATCACAAAATATGGTCACTTCCTTTTCTTCAGAATCCTCTGAAACTTAAATCCTATGGGAGACTTCAGCAGTGTCAGGATGGAGCATCTCTGTGGGTTTGAGAGAGGGTACAATGTAGGACAGCAATCATCTCAGGCTGCTGCTGTACTGAAGCCAGATTCCCATGGAGTGACTATGGGGTAAGAGAATGATACTGAAAAGCCATCATGTTCATCCTCCATGCCTCAGAGTCCTGTGTTGAATCTGAGTTCCTTGTAGGGTGCGTCTACACATTGCTGTACGGTGATGTTGCCATGGTGCTGAGTTTTAGTACTTCTGATTGAAAGTAGTAAAGCACAGCACAGTAGGGGTAGTTACTGTACTATATGCATGGTGCATGAGTAAATTTTGCCACTACATTGCCATAGTTGGCGATTGGGGAGTGTGCCACTAGCTGTAGCTTGCTATACCAGGGAATGTGCCACTACAGCGACATAGCTGGCGATCACATGTACACATACATGATCATTACTACATCGCCATTAGGCAACATGTAGACAAACCCCTTGATTCATAAAGCGTTTGGTATTTCTGTAGCATATAACCCTACCTTAGTCTGCAATGTGTGTTGTTTTTTGCTCATTTCCAGCTATTCCTGGCTTCCAGCTGTGACAGTAACTTTTGGTGATATCGCTCTAAATCTTGCTGCAATTTATTTAAATTATCTTCAAGTGAAACTCTTAGTTTTTTTGTTTCAAAGTACTTCTTTTCCCATGCCTGGTGAGCTACAAGTGAAAAACAACAGCTCTCCATGCTCTTCTCAGGTTAATAGACATTGTAGAAAGAATAATGACAACACATGTGGGTGCAGACAGAAGTGACAATTTTCACCCGTTCTGGCCACAGAAAGCAGTTTTCTAGCTGTGACTAAACATAAATGGACAGCTTCAAAAATTAAGTAAGTATATCTCTCCATTAGGGTTATCTACAATGGGGTCAAGATTGCTGTGCCTATAAAATTGCTGCAAAAGTTGCAACTGGTCAATTTGATGATCGTCCAGCCATGCAGATGAAGCTAGAGTGGCCTATTATCTCTTCAAGACTGAAAAGAGCTGAAAGATGGTAAGATTTTACTCATCAGTTTCCGAAAAATCCACACTCAGCAAAAACCTTTGATCAGTCTGGAAGGTTTTTTATGGGCAAAACTCCTAAAACAATAGGAAGTGTAAGAGAAGTTTTGTCACTTACGCGGGGAAGACGCTCCATGAGAAGCAGCCTGTAGGTGTGGCAGGGACCAATTAGAGAGTCACCTGACCAGATGGGGGCTGGGGCTTGAAGCATATAAGCCCAGGACCTGAGCTGGGCAGGCAGTCTAGCCCTAGAGCAACTGGAAGAAGAGCTCCTGGGCAGCAGGGCTCCTGAGTAACATCTGAGCTGGGGGCAAGCATCTGGAGGTTTGAAGAAGGGACTGAGGGAAGCTGGTCTTGAAAAGAGAGAGGTGTCAGAGAGCCTGCAAGTTTATAGCCCAGGACAGCTGAGTGTCAGCAGGGTCTGGAGCCTTGAGGTTTGTAGCCCAGGATGGGTGAGTGTCGGCAGGGCCAGAGGGCCTGGAGGTCTGTAGCCCAGGCAAGGTGTGTGAGAACACGGCTAGAGAGCTTGATGGTCTCGCTGGCCTAGGAGGCTCAACTTTTCTAGGAGCAGGACCAGGGCCTGGAAAGAGGGGCCAAAGACTGGGGGTCCTTTTTCTGAAAGTAGCATTTCAGCAATACATGGCAGGCAAGGGAAAGGGGGGAGTGCCCAAAAGAGACAGACTAAAGAGCTGAGGGGGTGCCCAGGGGCATCACGGCCATCTCTGGAGCCAATCTGTTACAGAAGATTTGTCACATGTTTGGCTCTCTTTCCTGTTTTCAAGCCCTCAAGACCTTGGGCACATTTGTGCGTGTGTTTCCTAGCTCTGAAGTGCAGCACAACAGGGCCATTTGAAATGCAATGTTAATAATATGCTAATTGCTAAGGGCAGTGGTTATATATGGTTAGATTTAGAATAAGTTTTGTGGGTCCATCCTGGCTGATACTGTTGCAGGTGTTGGGTTGCAATAAAAAGTATGGGTTTTATTTAGTTATTCTAATGTACTGGGGTGCCTCACTTTCAGCACTGACTCTCTTTAAGGCAGCCAAGTTATCACATCCTTGTTACTGAGTGCTGTCAGGTGGCTTCCTGAGTGCTATTATGTACTCTAGCAATATTTGATATTCTGATACTGCTGCCTCCCCGCTTATGCCCAACTCTGCACAATACCATACATGACT